CATTATAATTTTATGTAGATTTGATCTAAACACAATCCTATCAATGTGGGTGATCTTTATTGCTTTATCTTTATTACTTCCAAAATGTCCCTCGGAGCATCCTAGGGAGATTTTAGGAATGAACCAACCTATGTAAAGCTATGCTATGCTTTACATAGGCTATGCTCAATAACCTCTTACTTGGATATAAATCATGGATCTCTCAATCCATTATTCTTCATATACAGACTATATTGCCTGAGATACCCAGAAAAAAAAGTAGCAGGAGCAACTTGTGATTTTACTTGTTGGCTTTCTGATTGATTTTACTTATGGGAAACCAGCATGGAAAATTGGAAACATTGATCATATAACCAGAGGATACTGCAAACATCGTAAGTGCAAGCCGGTTGCCAAGTGCCATACTACTCATTCAGCCTTGTCATAACCTCACACAGTCATAGTCTGAGGATTACCAATAATAGTATACATTCTTTGAACATGCTAATTATAAGTCTTAGTAATCAGTAAGTAGTAATATATTGCATGGAATTTTTTGTATATGCAATGGATAAACAATATTGTTTAATTAAATTAGTACACAGCAAACTCTTATACTTATAATATCCTACAATGCTCCATCCGGAAATTCAGCTCATTGTGAAAAGTCACATCAAAAATATCTTTTCTTTGCATTTTACTGAATTCCCAAAAATCCACTAAGACTCAATCACTGAAGCTAATATCTGTTGGCAAAGTATTCTCAAACCATTATAGGTGAAACTAACAAATAGGTCACAGGTTGAGAAAAACAGAGAAAAATGCAACTCAGAATGCAAAATACTCTATTGACTTTTGAAAAACAGAACAAAGGTTAATTGGCATATATTTCTCATATCATAATTAACAATTTATTTACACACACTGAAACAAGATTAAGATAATTATCCTGAAACAGAAATGCAATGACAAATTACTGTTTTTTTATACTGCAGTTGATCTCTTACACATTAAAATAATCAACATGCTTTAAGCAGAAGGTTCATCTGTTCCATTTTAGGCTGAATTCTTTAAAACATAGATTCCGAACTGCCATATGGAAAATCCACAAAGCCAAAATGATAGCAATGCAGAAAGTGGGCTGACTGGCTGTATTTCCTCTAGAATATTTTAATAGGCAACATACTCTCAGTTGGACTAGCACTCCATGCATTTTAAGTATGATTTTAAAAAATTCACTGGTATTTAAAAAAGGAAATATGAAATATATTTCATTGTCAGTTTAATAGTATATGTTGAAAGACTACTTTCATTTAGCTCAGGGATCCTTATTATATGCTTGAGTGCAAGCCATAGCAGGTGGCACCACCATTCAGACCTCAGTTCTCTAGAAAAACTAAACAATGCTAGATCTGGTGAATACTGAATGAGATACAACTATGATTATGAAATTATCAGATGTAAAGTTTGACTTAATGGAGTCATTATCTTTTTATATGAGTGCAGACAGAGACCAGTGGTAGGTTGAACAGTCTGAATCCCTGGCTTGTATATGATTCTTAAGTCCCCTTGTGTAGGATCTTTCTCTGATTGTAGAAAACTGACAAAACTGGCTCCCTTCTCTAAGATGTAGCATGCATGAAAACCTCCATATAGTGTAAACCTAAAGTAAACATTTCTCATTTTAAAAAACTGGCTATAAAACAGATGATGGGAGATTTGTACAATAAGACATGTAAAATTCTGTTAATGTAATTTTACAATAAAATAGAATTAAGTCATCTGGTCATGTTTCCCATCAGATCTACCTGGGAAGGCTGACACATCCACATATAATCTTTTCTGGGTATGTTCACTACCTTGAGTTATTTATAAAAATAATAAAGGCAGGATATGAACAAACAAACAAACAAATTCTGCCCCATTTAACTTGATTCCCTTGACTATGGCAAGGTATTCCTTCTTATCTATATTCTAATTTAAGATATTTAAGATAACCAGTCATATTCAAAACTGGTGTGTGATTGACTTTCTCTAATTAATTGAATCTCAAGACTAGATCCCAACCTTTGGGTTTCAAAATCTACTGTACTATATTTCTTATAACAGAAAATAAGAAAATAAAGTTTGATTTCCAGATACCTTTCCTCTTGCCATTTTGATGCAAGAAACAAAAATTGATACTTATGTCTGTTGGCGACTTGAACCTTTGGATAATGATTTTCTATTCTTAAATGCTTCAGAAAAAAAAGAATTGTAGAGCTTACAGTCTTCTAAACCAAATGAATCAAGGTAAAACTTTCCATCCTTCTGAGGTCGATAAAATGAGGAACCAGATTGTTAGGAGCAGTATGCTTGCCCTATAAACTGCTTACAGGGTTCTGTAAAGCATTATGAAATGGTATATAAGCCTAAGTGCTATTGCTAACTTGCAATTGGCATAAATGAGATCAGTAAAAAAAGTGTTTACTTTTAGTGACATCACAGATATTGTCCAGAATTTGCCAATATGCTGTATTCCTTTCATTATACCAGGCATGTCAAACTCACGACATAACATGACGTTGCGTGACATATCACGACTTTTTCCCCATTGCCGGCAATGGGGTGGGTGCACTTTCAGTATAATGCATCCGGTGATCTGCAATGACCTCATTTATGAAAATTCAAGTGCTAAAATGTTACTGCATAAATATTAAAGACATACTTTTATTTTTTGTTCAAAATAAACTTCTAAAGTGGTTCAGTTTCACCCCAAATACCATTTGACATCCCCTTCAACATATGCTGTAAATGCTTGAAAGATAGTGTAGGGGGAGGAAAGGCAAACACTAAGTTTGTGTGATTTTCCCAGTGTTCTTACTGCTAATAGTTCAGCTTTGCTTTCTTCTGCTGTCAGCCTCATGACAGCAACACTCACCATTAACAGCACAAGAGAAACTACAACAATGGTAAAAAAAAACTATAAGAAGCTGAAGGATCTGACAACTAGAAACAGGAAACCTAAATGGGGAATCATGTAGAACCAAATAGGGAAGGGAATGGAATCCACTTGTGACACACTATGAAACAAGTTCAGCAAACTGACTTCTGTTTGATATGCAGAATAGATTTAAAGAGAGGGGGAAATATGTCACCAAGATGTTTTCTCTAACAGATACTTATTGGCATACAAAATCATCATGTAGGCTGTTCAAAGAGATATTTATTCACCCCAACACTCACATTATAAATTATTTAGAGCAGTGACTCTCAACATGTGATCTGGGGATCCATGGGGTTCCCAATAGCTATTCAAGGTCCACAAAATAAAATTAATAAATATTTTACATTTTATCAGTTTTAAGTAAATATCAATAGATATAATCCACTTAAACCAACTCTTTAGATCCTCAATCAATGTTTGAGGACCACTGATTTAGAGACAAGTTTACTAGCATAGGACATCCCTGGAATACACATCATAGGATGCAGAGGAAGCCCAGATTGTGATACATGCAGGGTTTTAAGAAAACCTTGGTGCATCAGAGCATAACAATAAAGCTTACAATAAAGACTATAAAACAAACATCTTAGTTTGGCCAGATATATTTGACAAAAGAGCATCTGGTTTTATTATTTACCTATTAGCTATGGTGGCGCAGTGGTTAGAATGCAGTATTGCAGGCTAACTCTGCCCACAGCCAGGAGCTCAATCCTGACTGGCTTAATCCTGACTGGCTCAAGCTTTCCATCCTTCTGAAGTGGATAAAATGAGGACCCAGATTGTTTGGGGGCAATATGCTGACCCCGAAAACTGCTTAGAGAAAGCTATAAAACACTATGAAGCAGTATATAAGTCTAAGTGCTATAGTTATTGTAATTATTAATCGGAATCAAACTCAACAATAAGAAAGTTATATATGTGACTATATTTTTATAGTCCTTTCTTTAATCTTCCATGAAAAATCTCTACCAAGGAACCACTACATTCTGAAATGTATGCTTAGTGCCTTTGCTTTAAATTTACCTTAAAAGATTATCACTATGCTAGTGATGTTCCATAAGCATCAATATTTTGAAACAGTTGTATCAACTTGAAATCCTCTAGTGTTGATATTACCAGTTAATATGGGTAATAACATGAGATTTTGAAAAAAATGAGTGCGGCTCTGTTTAAAATTCAAACTTCATATACCGTATATACTCGAGTATAAGCCGAGTTTTTCAGCCCATTTTTGGGGCTGAAAAATGCCCCCCTCGGCTTATACTCGAGTCAGCGGC